GACAAAAAAATACCAGTCGGGTAGTTTGGTATGGAAAATTGAATATAGGACACTTGAACACGCCACTTGACGAATGCCAATCTTATGAGGAAAATAATGATGTCATCTGATAATCCGAGATTCAGATGGAAATTGCAAAATCTTAATAACATTGTTAATGAAATCCGAATCTTCGTGCAAGGTATGCAGTCGACTGTTATTTAATATTTTCTGGTTTTTGTCGGTAATCTATCGAAATACTCATTGAGAACTGATGGTCATTTTGGTGACATCTGTCACGGAAATGACCACTTTGTCTTTCAACTATCGAAAAATATACAAGCTGCATATTTTCCTATGAACAACCTCACATGCTATACATCGACAACGGCAATTGATATCCGCAAAAAATGTGAGGTTGAGATTATTCAAAACATATACTGGAATTAAAAATGATCAAAAATATTATTCATGTAATCCGAACATTGCGGGGGGGGAGGCAATTCGACAATGACTTGGAATTTACTCATTTTCAATAAACTGTTGATATATACATGAACGAAAAATGGTCATTTTGTTGACCAGTATCATCGAAGTGGCCACTTGATCGTTCGATTGACAAAAAAATACCAGTCGGGTAGTTGTATGGAAAATTGAATATAGGACACTTGAACACGCCACTTGACGAATGCCAATCTTATGAGGGAAATAATGATGTCATCTGATAATGCTTATAGTTTAGCTCTGCGATAGAAGAAAGATTCCCCTGACCAGGCGCTAAATCCGTAAGAATGCGTCGTCCCCACAATTTCAGAATTGAAAAATGTGCAAATAGGCACATGGGCTTAAGTTAGCCGCCTCGGACGACTGAACCAATGAGGAATAAGCGTGACAGACGTTCGAGATATCGATAGTCTCGATGTTCGTCCTTTTTATAAGAGAATAAAAAATAGTGTACAACCTATATGATTCAGTCAGTTTGTTTACACTGAAATAAATAAATATATATGAATGCATATATATAAACATTATAAAGTCTGGTCACTTTGAT